AAAATATTATTATTATTATTATTTTATTATTTTTGATGAATAAAATAACAGAAAAATAAAGATATGAAATACAGGCAGAGCAAATGACTGTTTTACAATACTCTGTCCTTTAGTATTTGTTTATCTTGACAACAAAGAAAAAAATTCTGAATTATTTATTTGGAGTGGGGCATGTTTGAATGTTAATGTTTTGTTTTCCGTTGCAATGTGTTAACAATAAGCATTCATTTGTCCCCTTTTATTTTTTTAAATCCTCCCTGCAGGTTTGTTGCTGGCCGTGATGACTCCCAAATTGTCCGGCTGCACGCGCACAGACATGGTGTGGCAGAGGGTTTGCTGGAAGTTGCTGGAAAATGTACCCCAGCGCTGGATGGAAAGTGTGCTTGTCGGCTTGGTGCAGGCCGTCCATGGGTGAGGGTGCTGGGATATCACAATGACACACAATAAAGTCATACTTTTTACTACGCTCCTCCCTCATGAACAGATTTTATTGTCGTGTCTTATTATATTTCACTGATGTGGTGGGTGTTTCATTTTTCAGGCCTGGAGCATTGGGTAGAATCATGGGCAATCTTGTGTTAAAAAATAAGACGGCCCAGTTTGTCATCACACATAAACTGCTGTTGCTGCAATACAAATATGAGGTAAGGTATTACTAAAAGCATGAGTCATGAGAAAAATTTGATTTTGCAATGTTTTTATTGTCTTTTTTTCCCACCCAGACCCGCACGTTGAGAGTTGTTCTGGATTACCTCGCCGCAGACAAGGACAGAAGACCGCTGCTTATCCAAGTGAGTGCACAGAGCGTCGCCATGCTGAAATACCATTTATCTCAATTTACTCACATGTTTTATTATTCCGTTATATGACTCCCGGCGCCACACCCGATAATCTCTCACGGCACGCTAATATGGCTGTGAATCACTGGTGTAGAGGAACAAAGCCCTACTGTGGTTTTCATCGTTATTTTTATTTTTTTTTGTGTATGTCTTCTCCCTGCAGGTGTTGCGGTGCCTGTGCCAAGCATGGGCCAACCCAAGCGCAGTCAAACACACTCCCCTGGAGCAGCAGCTGTACGTCAGCAAGGCACTCCTGCTGGCTGTGGGTCTGCTGGAGGATGCTGAGCTGCAGGAGCTACGTTCAGGTGCGAATTTCTGTCGCAAAGGAGGGGTCAAAATATATGTATTATACTGCCATTAAAATGTTTCTCATTTTAATTGCATTAACCGATTGCATTTTTCCCTCAGAACTTCTCCAGTGCATGCTGGGAGGAATGCAGAGCCACCTGGACAGCAACGTGCTACGAATCAGGCATATGGGGATGGTTGTGGGCGAGTGTCTGAGCTCCCGCATGAATATCAACGGAACCAAGCTCAAATTTGAGGTCAGTGTTGAATTGAGACGTGGTCAAAAAGTTTTTCAAGGCATCAAATCAAATTGTTGTAATCCGCTGCATATTTGCAAATTCAAACTCTTTCATCAAATGTCCGCATTTGAACCTCAGTGCTCACGAAGCATCGCTTGTTGCTGTTTGTGTGTTGTAGTATGAACAGGATGAGGAAACGCAAGATCTGGTTTCTCTTCTGACTCCTTCCAAGATGGGCGAATCAGAGCCTGAATGTGACGATGGGTGAATATATCTGAATGATTACAAGCTTTTGACAAAAGACGCCTAAATCTATGACAAATATATCAATTTTTCTAATGTATTAGTAGTACTGTATAACCTTGCATTCATGCAATGTGTGAATGTTTGCTGGTTTTATTTCATATCATGAACAGGCTCAGCCCTCCAGAAGAGAGCAGAGAAAATCCGCCAGTTTGCAATGGTTCCTCACCAAATGAACGAGAAATGGCATCGTCAAAAACGGAGCCAGGCTCGGACCTCGATAGGTAAGTGTCCACTGCACACATACACCATTTCAGTGAAAGTAGGATGTATGCCCAGCCTGGCACGTTTCTTGATTTTTAGGTTCATTCTGAAATGGCATTTATAGGTTTTTAGGAGTAATGTACCGTATGCGATATGTTACAAGATCAGTGACATCTTTCCCAATTGCAGCGATGATGAGTTCACGCCTTACGACATGTCTGAAGATCAGGAACTAAATAAAGCGTCACCACCGCGCTACCTACGAGATTGTCTGGAAAGTATGTTTCCTTGTTTTTCGTCCTTCCCTCCCCACACCATGGTATTATTTTATCATATCCTGCCTGATCCCCCCCTTCTGCATCCAGATTTAATTTTGTCTGAAGATCCGGAGCGCGTGGAGCTTAGTTTAAGGGTTGCTGAGGGACTGGTGAGAAAGAACGTCTTTGCGACTAAAGAGGTACACTGGGCGTGCACAGCACAAGTCTTCTATATTTAGTATGTCTGTTTTTACTCCCCACTGGTGGACAAAGCACACACACACACACACACACACACACACACACACACACACACACACACCAAAATGAGAACAATTGCAGAGGACAATCATGATGCGCAATTTCATTCTTTAATTCTATTCACTTGTCCAGTAGGAGGCAGCTTTGCATCGCTTGTGTTCTGCACGGTGTCACAAATGTTGGAAATAATGTTGTGTTTCATCAGATCAGTGTGCAGCTAAGCAAAGTTCTTCTCCACATGGAGGATAAATACAGCATAAATGGCTTCCGGGGTCTCAGGCAGGCCGCCATGGTGGCACTTGTGGTCAGCGACTCCATCCCGGTACGGTTTGCCGCCTCTTGCGCTAAGAATATCGTCCCTTTTTACATGCCGAACTATTGTTTGACGATTGATTCCAGGTGACCGAGTTTCTCAACACAGAGTTCTACTCCTTAAACTACAGTCTTCGCCAGCGACTGGATATCTTAGAGGTTCAAAAGCAAAAAAAAAAGAAAAAAACTCTCAACCCAAATAATCCTTAGTGTCGTCCTCAAAATAATGCTTTATTTTATTTCAGGTTCTTGCTGTGGCAGCTCAGGAGCTGTCAAAGCCAAACCCGGGAAACGCAAATCCAAGCGTCACCACAGACCAAACGCCGTACTCGGCAAACGACGCTGCTCCCTGGCAGCAGGTTGTTGAGAAGCGCATTCGGGCAAAGACCAAGCGCATCAGTCAGGTATTTTAAACCACATCAGAAAGTTAGCCCCTTAGGCTGAGAGCTGGTTAGCTCACAAGATACTCTAGAATAGATCGATAGATCTTTTATGAATCTACCAGTGGAAATTCACATGTTACAGGGAGTCTCCCAGCCACCAGCAAAAGCCACGGTCAACCGTTACGCACCAGTTGCTGGATATTTCTTCTTTCCTTTACTCAGAAATTATGACAAGTGAGTCAGAGATTTTTGTCCCCTCAACATACGAATGCATGATCATCGTTTGAGCTTAGAGCACTTTTAAATGCGCGTTCACTTCATGTCTACCAGGCCTCAGGTAACCTTTGACTTGTTGGGAAGTGACCACCTGGTGTTGGGCAGGCTGATCCACACCTTGGGCATCTTCATGCATTTGGCAGTCAATGCGCCGGTACTTGAATCAATACAAAATCATGACCAAGTTACGTTATTAAAGTTACTGATGACATTATTTTCCGTTTTTGTCCTGCAGGTAGCTACACAAATGGGTCGTGCCCTCCTTGATTTTGTGTGGGCGGTGCGTTACCACACTGACCAGTAAGTAACCGCGCTTGGAAAATTTGTTTTTAAGTCAGTCGTAATGTCCAATTTTTCAAAGTTTGAATCTGTTCGCGAGTGTCCCTACCAAGCAATGTTTCACTTTGATTTTCAGGATGGTAAGACGAAGCGTCCTCTTTGCCGTCTGCTCCGTGTTCATGAGTATGCCCAGTCCAAACCTCCTAGTGGACCTTGCAGACCAGATTTTTGAAACTAGATCTTGGTTGACAGGTAAAAAAAAAAAAAAAGAAAAGTGTCTTTCGCTTTCACTGAAACACTCTTACACATAAATGGACATTTTCAGAATGCACACACAGCTGCGCTGATTTCTGGGAAGAGGATGACGATTCAGGATGTCCTGCAATGCACATATTGTCTGCGATGGGATTGGTTTATTTATCTATTTACGTATGTAGTTATTTTAATCCATCTTGTCGCTATTACCATGTTAACCAGGGGCTGAATCACCATTTCCTCTGACATGCTGGAGGTGCTTTTTGACAGACCAAAGTGTTATTTATTTATTATTTTTTAATGTTTGCTGTTTGCTGTGCTATGTGTTATGCTCCCAAGATGTGGCTGGGGATGATGTGGATGCCGATTGCAGGAGTTTAGCCATGCAGAGTCTGATGCTCCTGGATAAGAGCCTGAAGAAACAGCTTCAAAGTCCACAAGCCCTCAGCATTGAATCATGACCAGCAACAACAACAACAAAAAAATGCACCAGGTCAAAGTGAACACTCTGTCCTCACAAAGACTGCAGGTGACAATTGCGACAGTCAAGGAAGCGGATGACCCCAAACAGTGACCAATGTCCCTCAAGGTGGGATGACTTTTTTCACTTCCTGGAACACAAGGTCAAGCAAAAGAGAGCAGGTTTTATCCCCCGACTCTGCATTTAAAAGTACACACACATTTTTACTTTTTGTTCAAACTTCAAACCACAGTCAAACGAGACCAATTGTGGCTGAAAAGAAGAAATACTATGCCGGGTTTTTTCGGCTAATAATGTATGAAGAGGATATCCTTTATATAGTACAGGTAGATCATTTCGTCTCTTTCCTGTACAAGCAGATCTTTCTATTGGGGTTGTTTGTTCACAAAGGACATCCTGTGAATATTTATGTGCAGTACTTAGTCGTACACAGACTGGAAAAATAAATTGCACTTCCTCCTGTGACATAAATGGGTAATTTCACACGAGAATGAGGTCTCTGAAATACCTTTTCTCTGATGAGAAACTGCAAAAGATGACAATTTGTAATTGTATGCTGTTGCATCGCATGTAGATTTTTTCTGCCCAACTGAAATGCATGCAATGATATAATAATAACCTTGGGCATCTTCATGCATTTGGCAGTCAATGCGCCGGTACTTGAATCAATACAAAATCATGACCAAGTTACGTTATTAAAGTTACTGATGACATTATTTTCCGTTTTTGTCCTGCAGGTAGCTACACAAATGGGTCGTGCCCTCCTTGATTTTGTGTGGGCGGTGCGTTACCACACTGACCAGTAAGTAACCGCGCTTGGAAAATTTGTTTTTAAGTCAGTCGTAATGTCCAATTTTTCAAAGTTTGAATCTGTTCGCGAGTGTCCCTACCAAGCAATGTTTCACTTTGATTTTCAGGATGGTAAGACGAAGCGTCCTCTTTGCCGTCTGCTCCGTGTTCATGAGTATGCCCAGTCCAAACCTCCTAGTGGACCTTGCAGACCAGATTTTTGAAACTAGATCTTGGTTGACAGGTAAAAAAAAAAAAAAAGAAAAGTGTCTTTCGCTTTCACTGAAACACTCTTACACATAAATGGACATTTTCAGAATGCACACACAGCTGCGCTGATTTCTGGGAAGAGGATGACGATTCAGGATGTCCTGCAATGCACATATTGTCTGCGATGGGATTGGTTTATTTATCTATTTACGTATGTAGTTATTTTAATCCATCTTGTCGCTATTACCATGTTAACCAGGGGCTGAATCACCATTTCCTCTGACATGCTGGAGGTGCTTTTTGACAGACCAAAGTGTTATTTATTTATTATTTTTTAATGTTTGCTGTTTGCTGTGCTATGTGTTATGCTCCCAAGATGTGGCTGGGGATGATGTGGATGCCGATTGCAGGAGTTTAGCCATGCAGAGTCTGATGCTCCTGGATAAGAGCCTGAAGAAACAGCTTCAAAGTCCACAAGCCCTCAGCATTGAATCATGACCAGCAACAACAACAACAAAAAAATGCACCAGGTCAAAGTGAACACTCTGTCCTCACAAAGACTGCAGGTGACAATTGCGACAGTCAAGGAAGCGGATGACCCCAAACAGTGACCAATGTCCCTCAAGGTGGGATGACTTTTTTCACTTCCTGGAACACAAGGTCAAGCAAAAGAGAGCAGGTTTTATCCCCCGACTCTGCATTTAAAAGTACACACACATTTTTACTTTTTGTTCAAACTTCAAACCACAGTCAAACGAGACCAATTGTGGCTGAAAAGAAGAAATACTATGCCGGGTTTTTTCGGCTAATAATGTATGAAGAGGATATCCTTTATATAGTACAGGTAGATCATTTCGTCTCTTTCCTGTACAAGCAGATCTTTCTATTGGGGTTGTTTGTTCACAAAGGACATCCTGTGAATATTTATGTGCAGTACTTAGTCGTACACAGACTGGAAAAATAAATTGCACTTCCTCCTGTGACATAAATGGGTAATTTCACACGAGAATGAGGTCTCTGAAATACCTTTTCTCTGATGAGAAACTGCAAAAGATGACAATTTGTAATTGTATGCTGTTGCATCGCATGTAGATTTTTTCTGCCCAACTGAAATGCATGCAATGATATAATAATAATAATAATAATAATAATAATAATACATTTTATTTATAAGCGCCTTTCAAGACACCCAAGGACATACCAAATAATCCTTAGTGTCGTCCTCAAAATAATGCTTTATTTTATTTCAGGTTCTTGCTGTGGCAGCTCAGGAGCTGTCAAAGCCAAACCCGGGAAACGCAAATCCAAGCGTCACCACAGACCAAACGCCGTACTCGGCAAACGACGCTGCTCCCTGGCAGCAGGTTGTTGAGAAGCGCATTCGGGCAAAGACCAAGCGCATCAGTCAGGTATTTTAAACCACATCAGAAAGTTAGCCCCTTAGGCTGAGAGCTGGTTAGCTCACAAGATACTCTAGAATAGATCGATAGATCTTTTATGAATCTACCAGTGGAAATTCACATGTTACAGGGAGTCTCCCAGCCACCAGCAAAAGCCACGGTCAACCGTTACGCACCAGTTGCTGGATATTTCTTCTTTCCTTTACTCAGAAATTATGACAAGTGAGTCAGAGATTTTTGTCCCCTCAACATACGAATGCATGATCATCGTTTGAGCTTAGAGCACTTTTAAATGCGCGTTCACTTCATGTCTACCAGGCCTCAGGTAACCTTTGACTTGTTGGGAAGTGACCACCTGGTGTTGGGCAGGCTGATCCACACCTTGGGCATCTTCATGCATTTGGCAGTCAATGCGCCGGTACTTGAATCAATACAAAATCATGACCAAGTTACGTTATTAAAGTTACTGATGACATTATTTTCCGTTTTTGTCCTGCAGGTAGCTACACAAATGGGTCGTGCCCTCCTTGATTTTGTGTGGGCGGTGCGTTACCACACTGACCAGTAAGTAACCGCGCTTGGAAAATTTGTTTTTAAGTCAGTCGTAATGTCCAATTTTTCAAAGTTTGAATCTGTTCGCGAGTGTCCCTACCAAGCAATGTTTCACTTTGATTTTCAGGATGGTAAGACGAAGCGTCCTCTTTGCCGTCTGCTCCGTGTTCATGAGTATGCCCAGTCCAAACCTCCTAGTGGACCTTGCAGACCAGATTTTTGAAACTAGATCTTGGTTGACAGGTAAAAAAAAAAAAAAAGAAAAGTGTCTTTCGCTTTCACTGAAACACTCTTACACATAAATGGACATTTTCAGAATGCACACACAGCTGCGCTGATTTCTGGGAAGAGGATGACGATTCAGGATGTCCTGCAATGCACATATTGTCTGCGATGGGATTGGTTTATTTATCTATTTACGTATGTAGTTATTTTAATCCATCTTGTCGCTATTACCATGTTAACCAGGGGCTGAATCACCATTTCCTCTGACATGCTGGAGGTGCTTTTTGACAGACCAAAGTGTTATTTATTTATTATTTTTTAATGTTTGCTGTTTGCTGTGCTATGTGTTATGCTCCCAAGATGTGGCTGGGGATGATGTGGATGCCGATTGCAGGAGTTTAGCCATGCAGAGTCTGATGCTCCTGGATAAGAGCCTGAAGAAACAGCTTCAAAGTCCACAAGCCCTCAGCATTGAATCATGACCAGCAACAACAACAACAAAAAAATGCACCAGGTCAAAGTGAACACTCTGTCCTCACAAAGACTGCAGGTGACAATTGCGACAGTCAAGGAAGCGGATGACCCCAAACAGTGACCAATGTCCCTCAAGGTGGGATGACTTTTTTCACTTCCTGGAACACAAGGTCAAGCAAAAGAGAGCAGGTTTTATCCCCCGACTCTGCATTTAAAAGTACACACACATTTTTACTTTTTGTTCAAACTTCAAACCACAGTCAAACGAGACCAATTGTGGCTGAAAAGAAGAAATACTATGCCGGGTTTTTTCGGCTAATAATGTATGAAGAGGATATCCTTTATATAGTACAGGTAGATCATTTCGTCTCTTTCCTGTACAAGCAGATCTTTCTATTGGGGTTGTTTGTTCACAAAGGACATCCTGTGAATATTTATGTGCAGTACTTAGTCGTACACAGACTGGAAAAATAAATTGCACTTCCTCCTGTGACATAAATGGGTAATTTCACACGAGAATGAGGTCTCTGAAATACCTTTTCTCTGATGAGAAACTGCAAAAGATGACAATTTGTAATTGTATGCTGTTGCATCGCATGTAGATTTTTTCTGCCCAACTGAAATGCATGCAATGATATAATAATAATAATAATAATAATAATAATAATACATTTTATTTATAAGCGCCTTTCAAGACACCCAAGGACATAAGCATGAACAAATATTTTGGGTCTCTTTAGTATAAGTTACAACATATTAGAGTGATACAACGACATTTATGATATTTTTTAAATTGCTGTTGAATGCTGAAAATACGTGTATGTTTAAAGGATTTTTTAAATTTTTATTTTGAGCAATATATTTCTCCTTATCGTTCGTTAGTTTTTTTAATAGCAGAACGTGACTCGTCACATTTCGGCCATATTCGTTAATTTCCGTAACTCCTCCTCCAGTGCAACCTGGGATGTTGTTAGGGGCAACTGTCAGAGACGCTATTGTAGCCACACAGGGCAAAACGTTTTCTAAGAATGCCTGGAAATTAACAGCTAATTGGGTGGTGTAGGCAAGTCTTGAAAGAAAAATCCTCGTCCGGTCCTGTTGTTTAGAAGAGCGCCATTGAAGGTTGAGGCTAAGTTTGGATAATGAATCCAAGCTAGCCGAGGTGGGGAAATCCAAAATGGATGCCGCCTGGAGTGATTTTGTTGAGCGAGCTGCCTAGATGTAGACTAACACCATCGGTAACACCGTTTGGAAGGAAAGACGCTTACGAGGGTATGTGTTTTCCTCATCTGCGTAAAAAAGTATGTGACGAAGAGGACAATAAGAACGAATTAATGCAAGTCGTGAAGTGTTCGCGCAAATTACCCCGCGTGGAGACGGTAAAGAGTTCTGTGAAAAATCTGTTGTTGTTCGACAACTGTGTAAAGGTATTAAATGTTTTGCTACTTTAAATTGCAAACTCCCTCCATAAACTCGTATCAATTTTTTCCACTCCTTTTCTTTGTTCGTGTTTTCTCATGTGATTTTGCGTGAATAAAAAGTGAAGACACACACACACACAGACGCACACACATGATTTACTAATAGTGTCAATTCAATGTTATCAATAAATGGTCTTATAATTACTGTGTCGTGCATAACAATATCGAATCAATCTAAAGCCAACATTTCCCACAGAGTTGTTAACAGGCCAGTAGCAAGGGGATGCTCAAGTGGCCCATCAGTGCAAAGCTATCAAGACGTGTCAGTCAAATAAATGAAAACATACTGCGGCGATAATTGAACACAATAGAATCATTTTATCACAAAGAAAAAAATAACACATTTCTATTGCCCCATTGTGTCTCTTCCTCACACTTATGAGGTTCAGGGGTCGAAGCTCAGTTGGTGCCCTCCTATGTGGATTTGGTGTGTCATTTATCAGCCATCTTTCTAACCCACTTCGGTACACTGAGGACATGGCGGTGTATTTTGACCACCGTGTTGAGACCCCTGAAAATTGTGAGGACCCCTCTCAGTTGACGTGGCACTCAGCTCTGTCCATACTGGCTGTGGCTTCACGAAACTCAAGCACTGGAGGAAATGTAAACATCTACTTACAGCAGGTAAACTGGAATGTGGTTGTGAGAATGTGTTTTATTTGTCAAATAGATATTTTTTATCTGTCTGCCAACCCATCACAACGAATCCCTCTCCAAATGCAGGGAGAGCATGTGGAGAGCTGCCATGTTGAGCGTCCTCATCGGCCTACGATGCTTTGCTGGCATCCCATAAAGCCAGTGTTGGCTCAGGGCTGGGAGAATGGCGAGGTGCTGCTTCTGTTACACCCTTCCGGGGATCAAAATGTCCTGCCGAGCACGCACACGGCGCACATCACACTGCTGGAGTGGAGTAGCTCGGGAACTCGCTTGGTAACTGGGGACCAGGTAGTGTCTTTTAAGAACACCGATATCTTTGCTTTTCTGTAAAACAGTGATAGACATCTGGTGATTTGGGACATAAAATATGTTGTACATGTGACTTCGCAACAGTTAGAAACTGAAGGTTCTTGGATGGCAACAGTTGAAGACCTGTATAGCACCACATAAAAATCTCTTGCATTTATCTAACATCAGAGCGGAACTGTAGCTGTTTGGAAGGTGGATGCCAGAGGGAGACTTCAAGGGAACCATCAAGTGAAGCATGCATACAACTCCCCCATCACTTGCTGTTTATTCAAACCAAGTTCGCCCGGAGAGTGAGTAAACAGGATGACTATTAAAAAAAATCTTAAATATACGTATTTATTATTATTATTTTTGCAGCGACGTGAAAATGCTGGCCCGTGCATCAGTGAGTGGGGATGAGAACGCTTTGGACATGTTCAGCTGGAAGGGGGCGCCTCTCAAGATGGGGCCGCAAGAGGGCCTTGCTTTCTATGTCAGCACTGCAGATGGTAAGAACAACTGTAGTTTTTAAAGACCCAATGAAGTGGATTTAGAAATGTGTTTCTAAATGCATTTTAGATTGAAAAGCACAATACAAATTAAAGCTCATGTTTGTTTGTTTGTTTTAATGGTGCACCGGTCCCTCTATGAAGTGTTTACTATTTGAAATGATACGCCATAACATGTTATTGTAAATTATTTTGTGGACCCCAAGCTACAGATTCCAGACCCTCTCCCCTCCCCACGTTTGAAAACCACTGATCTAAAGCATGTTTTACAGGTAATGTACACAGTGTGGACGAGCATGGGAAAACAAGCATGCTCCTCAGTATGGACGGTGCCATCAAGAAAATGTTCTACCTGGAGACCAGGGAGGTGCTTACAGTCATCACTGACACGATGATGCTGTCACAGTACACTCTGGGACCAGAGGGGGATGCCCAGGAATTTCAAAAGGTGTGCTCAACAGAAAAAAAAAACAAAAACATCCTCCTTATTGCCTGCTGTAAAACACATTGTTCTCTTTAAAACACTTTTCAAGGTCAAGCTGAGCAGTAAGAGTGGCCAAAGCGTCGACATCGTGTGGGCACAAAATGGTCTCGTTATCACAGCCACAGGAGAGCAACTCATCAGGTTGGCATACTGTACGCTCAACAAACAAAGCACACTTAAACACTTACTGGCCATTTATGTGATGTTCTGTCCTGATTTGGTTTTCTAGGTTATGGGATCTTGAGCGAAACGAAAACTACGCATTGTCTCTTGATGAGACTCTTGGCTTTGAGAGGGGCGAGATGATCAACTGTGTTTCCTACTGTGCAGGGAAAGGTCTATATTAATATGCTTGAAAAACTAAATAGAAGAAAGGGAATAGAAGTAGTGTTTCTCTGTAACAAAAACACTCAGGTAGAAGTAAAATGTATGTTGCATTACAATTACTATGAGAAGTGCAGTACCCATATTCTCCATACAGTACACAAAGTCCTTTCATATGCAATTTATCATCTTGCATTTCCTGTTGCAATTCACCTCTCCAGAAATTCTTGCCGCTGGCACCAGTCACGGACGCATAGCAATGTGGAAGATGGCGGTGCATCCCGACCGCAGCAGAAGTGACACAAAAGCCCAGTGGAAGCTTCAGACTCCCACGGAAATAGAAGGAAACGTCACTCAACTGCAGGTATTTTAACACACTTTTGTCTTGTTCCGTGCAAATAAATATTTGACACGTACCCGCCTTACAGTGGGGCACCAGTCTGAATCTGCTGGCAGCCAACAATTCCGCCACGGTGGTCATCCTGCACGAGCACGTAATGTCAGCCCACTGCAGCCAACAGGTGGCAGCGGTGCAGTTGACGCCGACCCAGCTCAGCATCACCCAGTTCCACACAGGGCTGCACCTGGCTCTGCAGTCTGAAATGCACATCAAGGGAGTCTGTGTGACCAAGGTAAGCAGCGAAGGGTGTCGAGAATGGAACTGAATGGGATATAGACAAATCCGCACGTGAGTGTCTGGGTGTGAGCTGTGGCTGAAAACTACTAGTCACCGACGACTCGACTTGGATTTCAAATATTTTTGTTCTGTTTTGAATTGTGCCAGGTCCTGAAACTAAAATGCAGACGCGTTCAGAAATGTCACCATCAGTTCTAATTTTGTGTCCATCCCAACAGGATTCTGCAACGGTTTGGAGCGGCAAACAGGTCACTGTGTTTGAGATGTCAGGGGCTGCCCTACATAATAAAGGTACACTCACTTACTCCACTTTTAACTGAACACACTCTCAAAAGTACAAATGGCGCCTTGACACATTCACCACCTGTTTATTCCTCCACCTAATTTTGTGAATGATGAGAAGGTCAAGCAGTTGTGCTCCCAGAACAAATTTTCTGATTAATTTTCCACCCACACTTTTTAAATTCAATCTCTTGTTTTTACATTTTTTTTTCTCTGCTGATACCCCAGGATCGTTCCCTTGTGACTCCCATGTAGTAGCTGTACATGGTGAGAACCTTTACACCGTGGAACCTAACAGAGTCCAGATTCGCACACCGCAGGTCTGTTGAGCCTCTTTGGGAAGCTGTGGTGAACTCATTTAGTAACCATCCCGTTTCTCGTTAATTAGGGCACAGTGAAACAGCTCTTGAATTTCTCCAAAGCGGAGGGCAACCCAGTGCTCCTCAGTGTGTGCCAGTCTTACCTGGTGGTCGGCACAGATACGTCGCATATCAGAGTTTTTGATCTGACCCGAAGGTTTGTTCACGATGATGTTACTCCAGGTCAAATACATGTCCATATATGCGTCTGCATCAATGTGTGTTTTTATAGAGATGCTAAAGCTCACTGCAATGCTAAGAACCTGACTGACCAGATTCCCAATCTGGGAGCCCTGCGTTCTGTCAAGTGTAACGCCAATGGCAGCCAAGTCAGCATCTTAATCACACAAGTAAATGCATAACAGCCACTCTCATTTGTTTATATTTTTTTAAATGGTTTATTGAATGCTGATTCCCCCCCCTCGCCTCCCCCTCTTAGGTGAATGGTCGACCTGACCAAAAAGTGTACTTCTATGACATCGAAATGGACACAGTGACACACTTTGATTTTTTCACTGGCAGACCACCCAGTGGTATCTCACAGCCCGAAGACGGTGACAGGTAAGCAACGGCGCTTGTGCACTATTATATGATATTTTTAATCCGCTTGTGTTTTGTGCTTCAGACAGCAGTTTCAGGAGAGCGAGCTGAGCGGCCGATGCCCTGTATCGCACTTCTGGGATGAGAGTGAACCTCGACTCTTTGTGTGTGAGACTGTGCCGGTCAGCTCTGAAACCTCTTCATCTGGTTACTGGGACACGGTAAAGATAACGTTGAAATTATTCTCCGGCTAAAGCAGATTTTAGAGTTTCATTTCACTGCGCAACCAGCATTATTGGTCAAAAATAACTTTTAAAAAGTGTATACGGTGTTTATGTTTTTGCTCAGTAGTGGTTTGATCATGACTTTGCACGTCCTTTCTTTATTTTCCAGGTGGATGTGTCAGTGGTGACGCTCTTCTGTACTCAGGAACATGGCCTCCTCTTGCAGGACTGCTACCCCAAACCAGCAGGACTACAGGCCCTCCTTGCTCTTGACGTGCCTTACTATTATTTCAGCTGCAAGGTGAGGTTGGGCAATTCTGTTGTTTATCCGTGGCTTCATGATTTGCTTCTTCCCTGGACGTGCTGATTCTGTCTGGAAATCTTTTGTTAAGCATATAGTTTCCTTTGCACCCGCCACTACTCTAATGTGCCACTCTTGTTTGGTCTAACGCACCCTAGCTATTATTTCGGAGGGGTGGTGTCTTCCAATCAGAAGTAAGTGCCTGTGTGCGCCTTTCCTTCAGAAAACTAAACATTCTTTTTCCATTCCTGGCAGCACAAAAGTGTCCCTGTGTGGTGAATATAGCGTTGTTGTTTATTCCAACGCTGTAGTTTGCTTTGACTCCCACCCACTCCGATGTACACAGTGCATCCAAGAAGTATTCACAGCACTTTACTTTTTCCTCATTTTGTGACACGCTTATTTCTTGTGTTTCTAAAGGAGGTTTCCGCCACATCAGCGCCAGCAAATCAGAGCCAGCCATCACGAGGGTCCGTGGCCCTCTTCCCCCAAATGGTCTCCAGGCGAGCGCTCAGGGACTTTGAAGGTCTGGAGAACTGCGACAAGTCCACACGTGACGCCATGCTCAACTTCAGCTTCTACCTCACCGTCGGCCACATGGACGAAGCGTTCAAGTCCATCAAACTCATCAAGAGGTAAGAAGTCAGGCTGGGTCAGCTCTGGGCCATCTTTCCGCAGAGGTTACTTCCCACTTTTATCCGGTCATCGTGTTCTTCGGCAGTCCTGTCCACAAGGACTTGAGTTCAAAGACTTGACTAAAGACCAACAAGGAGAGCATTGTTATGTTCGGCCTTGACTCTGATTGGCGTTCTCCACAATGGTCTCCAAGCACGGGAGGTTGATTTTGACTCACAAATTGTCTTCACAAGCTTGTTCAATCCAATCAAGAGTTGTCATGAATAATATGCTTCATGAATTTTCTTTTTTAAAAAAATGTTAAGGCTTTTGGGCTCCCTCCTGAAATTTCAGAATGAACACACACTTGTCAGTACGCCCTTTGCAGTAAACGGGAAAAATCAAATTGAAACAATCAGGTGGGAAAAACATCCCGCTAGCCGGATATTCCAGAGACTTTAATAGTTCTGCTGACAGCTTTACTCAGGTCCTCATTGATAGCTATTTTTACTGCTTTTCCAAAGTTTGACATTGTTTGCTGAATGAAAATGCTCACCTATGTTTGCTACCCTCTATCTAATGGGTCAAGTCTGATCCTCTGAATAGTGATCCAGAAACTTTATTCAGCTCACTCAATATCTCGTTCTCATGAGGATTTAGTAAGAAATAGTGCAATGCAGCGGAAACCTCAAAGTCCAACGTCCCTGTAAATTTCTCAATATATCATTGGATAAAAAAAAATGTAGCAGAAAATAAAAGTATCTTATTTAAATAAATGCACGTCCACTAGGGCTTTAGTGTCATTGTTAAAATGCTTCATAGAAGTCCTCGGAATGAAGCAGCAACATCAGATACAGGCTGGAATGTCTGTATTCCAGACTCTGCAATTTCCTCTCATTCATGTCGTCCTTGACCTGCAGGGTTATCACCCACTGACTGTCTTATAGCCTTCACATTGCAATTTAAACTGGAGGAACAACAGAGGAGGTCATAGGAATAGTCCAAGATATGTATTTACAATACAGTATATATTCTAAGATAAGATAAGATAAGATAAGAAAACCTTTATTAGTCTCGCAATGGAGAAATTCCCAATTCACAGCAGCAAAGTTATGAATGGAAGAAGTAGAACAACAAAATATAGGAGCTGCTGGAAAGGAGAGGATCAAAGTGTCCTTTTACCAGTGGATCAGAGACGTCATGCTGAAAATGTGCACATCTGCTACAAGCTAAGTTTTGAAAGCAAACACGAAGCTGTAGCGTCCATTGACAAAAAGAGATTAGTTCACTACTCCTGTCCCACGTAATCCGCTTCAACTCCAAGCCGCGACTCCCGGTTCCACATTCGCAAGGGCGCTCTGCGCTCACGCTCCTTTCTTCTCATCGTCGGCTCCTCAAGCCTTGCATCCATCCAGCCGCAGACCGTTCAACAGCACCGATCTCTCCGCTGAACAAAGCGGGGCTGTGAAAATGCTGCCCATTACAGGCGCAAGACACAAACGCCCCCGGAGCTGTCCAGCAACGACAGTCAAATGGCGCCGACATTCCTCCCAATCAAAAACAGTGCTGGCATACCCATGCTGCCGAGAAGGCGCAACCACCAAGCACCGAGTCTCCTCCTTGATGAATGTCGTGGCCAAAAAATGCTGAAAACAGTCCACATCAAGTCCACACGACGTAACAACAAACACAAAGTGACAAAACAAACAGAAAAACAACAAAAAAAAACAAGGCTCACAAGAGCACTTGCCGACGGCTGCCTACTCGGGCGCCATCTTGGACTTCTTTTCTATAAAATGACATCACAACAGAAGGTACAATGATCCAAAAAAAAGTGATGTAGAATGATAAAACAACAACAAAACCACCACGCTTGACATTAAAATTTATTGTAGTTATCAAATAATATTTGTATTCATTAACCCCTGTATGTTTGAAAGATCCACAAGGGTTCTTTCCAGATATATGATATTTATAATCTCAAATATTACGACACCCTATCAGAGCACTGTGTTTATTGGAGCTTACTAATTATTAAATTAATATACGGATGTACCACAAACAAGAAGACTTCTAAGTGGATTACATGGATTGCAAAAAGTGTTGACGTGTGTTTCCGCTGTTGCCTGCTTTTTATGGAGAAGCGCGTGTCGCCATTATGTTTGGGGTAACTATCCCCTTTTGCATTAAAATGTGAGTTTCCTATTAAATATTGCCTTGACCCATTCAGAAACCTTGCTAGGCTAACTAGAATGTCCTGACCTACGAAAGATATATCAGCATTACATTTAGATATGATGTAAAATTTACAGGAAGAGAAAAAAAAAACAATGAGGTATTCTGTTATTATGCTTTATATCCATTCTTTCACAACTCCAATTCATCGTAATGCAAGAGGACTTTTGAGTAAGTGCACATATAACAATCAAGGTCCAGCTTGATCTTCTGCTTGGCAGGATGTTAAGCGTCACAGAGTGTCCTGGTCCAAATGTAGCACAGTGTGTAGCCACCAATAAATCAGACTCTCTCTCTCTCTCTTTCTCTTTCTCTCTCTCAAAAGGAAATATTTACTTGGTGACGTGACGTCCAAAAGTGATGGGTTATAAAACTTAACACATGCAGGCGGATGTACATGTATGTTGAGCCATGAGAAAACAGGTTAATGAGTTTGAGCAGTCCTGTCCGGGGGGATTTTCTGCTCAACACGGCGAATCCACGTAATCGTTGTCCAGACGTGGGTGGAAAGGGGACGTCAGTGAGCGACTGATGATGATGACCCGCGGCGCCAGGCAATCGTCACGGCGGTGTAAAATGTTCCAGATGAGCATGGCCGCCGCCGTGGTCGCCAGCAGGCACGCCGCTATGTTCACGTAACAGGAGTAGGACAGATGCGTATAGGGCCCGATCCTGTAGAATGTCACAAGTCCGATCACCAGCACAAAACCTACAAAAGACAAATTGACTCAGATAAGCAAGTGAGACAATTTGGCCAGTGTACAGTTTAAGAACCAAATCTGGCTCTTAGTTTCAGTGTTTAAGTCCAGTACTCCAGTCATACTTGGGACCGTATAACACGAAAGGGTCACATGACACCGCTGAGAGACACTAATTAACAGTTCCCAATTTAGACATTTTTACTTCGGGGTCTACTCATTTTTGTTGCCGGTGGTTAATGTCAGAATCGCCTTCTTTGTGTGTCTTATTCTCGTTGTTGCCCCATGAAAAGATATTTACAAAAACTATGAAGGGGGGGCATATTCGTGTCTGTGAAATCCCCACCTTTCCTTTGAGTCAAAACTGTCTGCCAGTTGCACAAATCCCTTCATAACATTAAAACAAAGAAATACAAACATTCAAGGCAAACATTCCACTGGCCGCATATTCTGATGGTTGTTTTACATGGTTACTCATTGATAGCTATTTTTACTGCTGCATTGTGTTTGATTCCTGAAATCCTCCACCCAGGCGATTACGCATTCCCCACCGCACTAATTTGTTTGTTGTTGAACTTTTGTAATCTTTTTTTTTTTTTACAGTCGCGTATGTGTCTCTTTACCCACAAGGTCCATACTGCTGACTGTATTTATTATTCTCAGCTAAACTCACTCCTAACCAACCATAAATTCTCAATAACAAGCATAATCTCGTTCCGATTTTTAAAGAAAGCATGGTTGAAGTCAGTGAAATGATCTTAAAGGGAAAAAAAAAAGTAAGAACATTAGAAAAAACAAAGGAGCCTTAAAAACCCATCACTGGTCTTTAGGAACAAAAAGGCTTTGACAGTAATTCCAGAGCGCACCTTTCCCGCACCTTTCTTGACCTCACGAAGACCCTATACACTCATAAAACCAAAATTGACCCGTTCAGTAGTTTTACGAGCACGACATTTCCAAGACTTAACAATCCTCAGTGTTCCGGTGTCAAAAGGTTCCCCGAAATAATCACTGGAAACGTGAATACTCTGTATGAATCAGTCGGTTTCCTGCATCGAAGCCTGCCGTTCGTTTATATTTGGCTCTCTCTCTCTCCCTCTGCGCTACGGTGATTTGTCATTGTTTCAAGTGAGGATGTGAATAATCGTTTCTGCCTATCGGTGTGTGTCAATCACTCAAATTGGAACGTCGCATTGTTTGCTCAGTGGCTTGGTGTTTAACCCGTCTGGCTCCTCATCCAAGAAAATGAATAATCTCCTGTCTCGGTCGCAGCTAGGGTGGTCTGTGTGAACCTCTCTTTTTTGGCACGCACTTATCTCGTCAGCTTCCTTCCCCCTCTTCCTCTTTCCATCCTTCCTTCCCACCCCTCCACACCCTGGACTTCGAGGCTCATGCTTTTACTGGAAGTTTGATGTTATCGGTCGCGGAGAAAAAGCCTGAATTAATCTTGAGTACGATTTTAAAAACTAAATGAACGGATAAGTTTACAGTAGGAGGGAAAAAAAAGCAAGCAACTGATTTGTGACCAGCAGCCATGATGGAAAAAGTACACCATCTGTAAATGTAGGAAATTAATCTCGTGACCTTTTATGACACAACCTGACTTTCGACACAAGCGCACACATTCCAGTTTCCAGGGGTGAAACGGGCAAAGGCAAAGGAAAAATCCCTGAATGGACCTGAATGTTGCAAACTCACAGTCTGCGCGCACGTTTGGCACGTATCAAAATGAAAACAATCCGGTGCAAGAAGTGGATAAGGCTTAAAAATATCTCCATTCAAGCTGGGACTATTTCCACTCACTACTATAAAGACTGTGTCGTGCCTTGCGATACAAATTTAGTTTGCTTCGCACCTTAAAACACATGTACTGTATATCAAATCATATTTCGAAATGAATGGAAATCTCATTAATCTGTGGGCGTCTATTCTTAATGTTTCACCATTTAAAAATAGGAGAATATCACTGATCTTTTTCAGAACAAACTCCCCCAGAAATCGAGCACGTAGATAAAAGTGACCGGGAATATTATCGATTCATTCAACGACACAGCAAGACTCCCCATCGTTTCCAGTTTCCATATGCCAAGTCCACACCATAGGAAAAAATTAAAAAAATGTGAACATGGAAGAATTTACTGCATTCTCCGCAATGTGCAGCTTTTGCTTCATCCTCTTGGAATGCTTTCTACAAGCTTTTATAGTGGGGTCAGAGGTAAATTCATGTAGTATGAGGGGGGCCTGGCATCTGATCTACATTCTTGTCCATCCCAAAGGTCCTTCCACAAACCTTTCCCACAAACTTGTGAGCATAGCATTTTCAGCCAGAGTAGAATTCATATCCGTTCTTTGGTTCTCTTCATATGTCATCCTCAAGCTGCTTTGCTAGCCATATATGGTCCGACCTTGGAAGACGCGATTTTTTTTTTCACCCCCCCTTCCAGGAAGCCTTGTCTAATTTTAGATAGGAAATAGGTGTGTGCTGTTTCAACTGTATTGTCAACATACGTAAAGACGGTCTCATTGATCATCCCTGACTATCGTTGTAAAAGCTATACATATCCACGTGCTGATCTGCGAGACGTGTCAGATGTCTTTTGTACAGGTCACTAAGAAGACTTAGAATGCGATTCACTGTTGTTGGTGAGTGTGAGTGTCAAGCCTCGAATCAAAAGTCCACTGATGAGAGCCATCCTTGCTTAGGGGGGTGGGGGGGAGCTCATGACAAAGGAGGGTAGTTCCCACTTCTGTGCATTTAACTTCCAAAATCCCCCAGCGAGGGCACAAACATTGTCTTCAACAGAGTATCTCCAGGCAGTGCGCGCACTCACGACACAAACAGCCCAGTCCCCGTCGAAAGTGTCTTTCCCGTGCATTCCCCCTCCCGGCTTTTTCCTTCTTCATCTCGGGGGTTTGCATAACAGGTAGTCACAGACATTTCCTCGTCCTGAGCAGGGATATCCTGGCGCCCACCAGTCGCTCGCTGCAGCTCTGGCTCATGGGCTCTGGGCGAAGGCTAAATTTAGACCCAGAGGACAGACCGCAGACTGATACAGAGCCAAGCGACTGAGTGTCCCTCACTTGAGGGGCAAAAGTCTTGGGACGCGACTCTTGATTAAATTATCAGTCAAGGGTTGGGCTAGTTCATCCTGAGTCTCTTCAAAGTTTGTGGCAAGTTTGCAGAATGACATTATCTGTTCCCACGCCAGTAACCCGATACAAGGTCCAGCATGGCACACTTGACGAGTGTCCCAATAACTCCATCCATTTTCTGACCTTTAACCTTCAGACTTTGATGTGGTGTGGTGTGTGGATGTTCGTTGCACCCTAACATGCAAATTGCTTTTTTATCATTGTGAGTCGGGATTTTGAATACTACTTTTCTCTGACCAATACAAGTATTAACTCTTGAGTACTCGTCGATACTGAGTACCGTAGTACCCCAGTACCAGGTCGGCTCTTTGATGTCAGATGTATCAGTTGCTGGTATTGGCGGCATCGATGAGTAGCCGATACCTTGAAATAAGGCCGGTATCGGCACGATTCCAGTATCTCGTATCGGTATGTGCCCATCCCCAGTTGTGCGTTTATTTGTCCTTGTGAGTTGTTGTTTCGAAGGGTTGGTACTTACTGGCGAGCTGGAAGAGCGCAGCAATGGCCTCCTCCCACCACTGAGATTCTGGCGTGATGAAGGGCAGCTCCATCAGGCCGAGGAGGAAGATCAGTTGACCGGCTGTCAGGGCCACGGTCGCAATCAGGTTACACGCCCGCATCATGTCGAACTGCACTTGAGGGACCACGGGGGAGAGTTGTGTTATACTACCAACCATCCATGGGCTGGACATGAGCAAGTAAACATGCATTGCACATTTGACGAAATCTTGCCCTTCATTGTTGGGCAATAATAACGGGACCTGAATTGAGACTTGCTTGAAAGTTGCACGTGTGACTCTCTCTCTCTGTTGCAACGGACTGCAGCAGTTATTTGTTTTATCACTCTGTGCTGCTGCCCATTGTGCTTAGTTGGCAGTGGCCATGCGGTTCCCCAAACGTATTCTTGAATGGCCTTTTGTCAATGGCGCTTTATTAGGCGAACTACATGAATGGCTCACACTGTGAGAAAACTCCCAACGATCCAAATCAAGGGAATGAGACATGCAAGAATTAATTTGATGCAGTGTGAATTCCATTATTTAAGTAGTTTTGTAAAATATGCTTTGCGCTTTCAATATTAATCCACCCAGTTTCTATTTCTGCTTTCTATGTGTTCAAATTCTAATCTTCACTTGTAGGTGAGATGGAGCCTATCCCAGGTGACGTTAGGTACAATCTGGGCTGGTTGCCAGACAATCGCAGGGCGCATATTGACCCTTCACACTCACAGTCACATCTATGGGTAATTTTTCATTGAACCCAACATGCACATTTTTGACACTTCAGAGGAAGCACGAGAAGGACGTTTTACCTCCAGAGCTGAGAGTCGAGACCCTGAACTCTGTTCTGTTAGGTGGAGGTGCTAACCACTATTCCACCTTGCCTCCAGGATGAATATAAACAAGGTAGCACAACAAAAGGGATTCCGGTAGGTGTAGGGTAATATTGTATAATGCTTACATTTTACAGTGCTGCGGGATTCTTGATAGCCAGCATACTCAGAGCCCCATCCCAGACTTTCACATTGCCTCTGTGCCACCTGAGCCCTTCGTCCAGCCTGGAGCTCATCCCGACCCCTCTCCCCTCCGCTGGGGCACATCTTCCACAGTCCCACGCTCCTCTTGCGCCCATCTTCCAGGGCTTGCAGGACCCAGCTAGGAGTGAAGGCGGCCACATTGTTTAGGACCAGGGACAGCAGTGCGACCGCGACCGCCGCAGCCACGAGCCTCTGCGCGGCCATGTGACACCTGGTGACCGCCACCCCTCCTCCCCCGCCCTCTCCCTCGGCGGGTTCAGACCCTTGTTCTTCCTCCGGGTCCTGCCTGCTCCCTCGCCTGTCCTCCGGAGAAGCTCCGTGGGCCCCGTGGTTCCTGTCAACCGCCTCCTCCACAGCTGCCGCCGCCTCCCCTTCCAGCGGATCACTTGCAAGTTATACAAACGAAGAAGAGGCGAAGGGGTTGTCGTGACGTTTAGCTAAAGAACATCTCCGTTCATCCTCATTCACGAGACGGTAACTCCTCAGCCTTCCTCTTCTGACAGCGCCGTAGGTATGCACGCATCAATCCGACAGACGCCGAGGTCCATTCCACTGGCTCCAGATGGCTGCAGCTTGACTCTTGGATGTTGGTTCCCGCGTCCCTTTACTCGCTCCCCCCTCACGCCTTCACATCTAATCTTGACTTTTTGTGTGCAGAGTCCACAAGGAAGATAGTCTCACGTATTGTTGCAAAAAGTCTCTCCACCGCCGACAACAAAAAGTTTCCCTAAAACCACCTCGCTGTGCTTCCTTCCAACGTTGCCCCCTCTGTGTCCCTCACAGCAAATTCTATAAGATTAGAGTTGATTTCTTGCAGATGTTCAGTGTACAACAGCAGCACGTCATAGCCGGACAGCTCCCTCCTTCGCAGTTGCTTTAAGTGTGCACGCATGCCAAGGTTTTGGTGTGACTCGAATGTCCAAAAAGACCCCCAACCCCCTCCCCTCTCTTGGACGTCACTGTTGTGTGTTCTTTTGTCTGCAGCCCGGGCGGAGGTGAGGGGGGGCGTTCACTTGAAGTCCTCTCTTGTGTGCAACAAACACGTTGGCCACCACAGTCGACCAGCAACAGGATGTGTTTCCTGAGAGGAAAAGAGACTGGGAAGAGGGGCCAAATGTGGACCTGTTCCTTCTCTTCTTTCCTTTTCTGGCTCTCTAGATGTTGCCGCTCCTCTGCATTTCGGAGTGCTTCTCTCATTGTTTTCGGCCATGCATACAAGGCCTGACTATTTCTGACAGGTCCTGTACAGAACTCGGCTTATCTGGCCGACATGTGGCTTGCTGTAGTTTGACGTGTATGCCGTTGCCCCCCTTGTACACCATGAGCCCCTAAAGATTTGGGCTATTTCCTGTTGCCCAACTTTAATAAACAGCACACATCTGTATCTGCTAAAGCAATGAGGAGGGACTGGTGGGAGCCAAATACGGAACAGATGGCTAAGGAATCTTGAATATGAGCTTTAAGCAATCGCAAAAAGGGATTCTGGCTTTTGATTTACCACAGAAAGTGAGGGGGGGACAAGTCCAGAAGGTAACATACAGTTGTGGTTCTGTACACACCCTGAACTTTATTTTCTGATGACTAATCAGGTACACTAAACCTGCTCCTGACTTTTTCTTCTCACCAGCAAAGCAGTATGGGAAAACATGGCGCGCATGTGTGTGAAAACTCGCCGGTTGGATGTGGCCCGAGTGTGCCTCGGCAATATGGGAAATGCCAGGGCAGCGAAAGCTCTGAAGGAGGCCGAGACAGAGCCGGAGCCAGAGACCCACATTGCGGCGTTGGCCATTCAGCTCGGAATGCTGGTAGGACACAAAAAAACTGAAGTCATCTTGCTCTTGTGTTTCCTTTCTATGCCCATGCAACATCGAGATGTCACCCTTCCCTTGCTGTCCTCCAACAGGAAGATGCTGAGAAGTTGTACAAGAGCTGTCAACGCTATGACCTTCTCAACAATCTCTATCAGGCGGCTGGCCAATGTGAGAAAGCGCTAGAAATCGCTGAGAATCACGATCGCATTCACCTACGCACCACCTACTATAATTATGCCCGCTATTTGGAGTCCATGGGTGACAAGAGCTTGGCCCTGGCGAAGTAAGATGGTTTTCTACAACAGTTACATGTTGCATATTCGTCATTCAATATTCACTATATGCATATGTATATGTAATTTGTCGAATCATTGTTCCAGTTATGAAAAATCCGACACTCACCGAGTGGATGTGCCCAGAATGCTTCAGGATGACCCTTTGTCTTTAGAAATCTATGTTAAGAGGATGAAAGACAAGTATGTCTACTCAGTCTAAACACGCACATTATGCCAAAGCGCTTTGAAATAGACTATTATCATTAACACCACAGGAACCTCTACAAGTGGTGGGCCCAGTATTTGGAGAGCCAATCAGAAATGGATTCAGCTCTGGACTTTTACGAATCTGCTCAAGATTACCTCTCCCTGGTTCGCGTTCACTGCTACATGGGGAACGTTCAGAAGGTGATCGAAAGTATTGACGTTCTAATGGACACAATCTAATCTGATTCAACACAGAGTTAATTTTAGGATTATTGAAATGAATTTGTTCGACAGGCATGTGAAATAGCAATCGATACAGGTGACAGAGCAGCGTCCTACCACTTGGCTAGGCACTACGAGGGTCACGAGGACATCAAACAAGCTGTCCACTTCTACACTCGAGCACAGGCCTACAACAATGCCATACGACTCTGTAAGGTGAGTTCATTATTGGTTGTTCATACACAACTGGTGGGTGTTTATTGATTGTGTTGTTCAGTGGCAAGAATTCTGGTGCATTCATCATTTCTCAGCATTGTGATGCTTTTTTTTTCCCCCTCCATAAATTATTTTGTCTTCACGGTGAATAGGAGAACGGTCTGGATGACCAGCTGATGAATCTGGCTCTGCTCAGCAACCCAGAGGACATGATGGAGGCCGCCTGTTACTACGAGGAGAAAGGCGTCCACATGGACCGTGCGGTTTCACTCTACCACAAAGTATGTCGACTGTTGGTTTACTCCAGCAAACCCCCCTCAGGTCGTTTGCATTCCTTCACATATTCCAAGCTTCTCCACAAGAGGGCAGCATTTGTTTAGATTAGCATTGGAACATTTGTAAGTAGATCGTGTTTTCTGTTGTAGGCTAGAGTAAGGATGAAAAATGTGGAGTAATTTTCGTATTGTATCAACTCTGGGTATATTTCCTGAATGGCGTGCAGGTGTTATTGTCTTACGTTGTGGTTACAATTTACTATTTAATTTTCCCTCCGTATCGTGCGTGACTCTGTAGGCCGGTTACGTCTCCAAAGCCCTGGAAGTGGCCTTCGCGACAGAGCAGTTCGCGGCACTTCAGATGGTTGCCGAGGACCTGAATGAAAGCTCGGACCCGGCTCTCTTGGCGCGCTGCTCTGAGTTCTTCATCCAACATTCCCAGTATAAAAGGGCTGTGGAGTTGCTGATCGCGGCAAAGAAGGTGCCGTTCGTCCTTGTTCACGTCCATCTTCATACGGCGACTTTTGTTGACTTTTGTGTTCTTGTTCTCAGTACCCTCAGGCTCTGGAGCTGTGTGTAAATGAGAACCTGACCATCACGGAGGAGTTTGCCGAGAAAATGACCGCGACGGATTCAAAAGACTTGTCTGAAGAGGCTCACAAGGAGCTGCTGGAGAAGATAGCCGAATGTTGCGTGCGTCAGGGAAACTACCATCTGGCCTCCAAGAAATTCACACAGGCCGGAAACAAGCACAAGGTAAGAAATGCTTTAACGAATTTTAAATGCACAGAAAACATGTCTGATAAAAAAGCCTGATGTTCAACTGTTCATCAACTAATAATTGGACCCGAATTGTTCTTCTACAACTGTATTTATGACGCAACTTATTTTTATGGTTCAGGTAATAAAATACCATGAGGAGGAGGTGGAAGAAAGTCATATATGTGAACGTCATAAGTCAATTTCAAGTTTTAAGGAGGCCGTTTTTTTTTTTATTTTCCAAACAGGCAATGAGGGCACTGCTGAAATCAGGCGACACAGAGAGGATTGTACTTTTTGCCAACGTTTGCCGTCAGAAGGAGCTTTTCATCATGGCCGCCAACTACCTTCAGTCTGTAGACTGGAAAAACCCAGAGATCTTGAAGACCATTATTGCTTTTTACACAAAAGGGAGAGCGCCGCACCTGCTCGCTGGCTTCTATGAAACCCGTGCACAGGTAGCACAGTGCTCCATTCTCTGTTCTAATCCAAGACTAACAATGTACAACTACACAGAACCTTTTTTTTTTCTCTAAAGGTGGAAATCGATGACTATCAGAGCTATGAGAAGGCTCTGGATGCTTTGAGTGAGGCGGTTAAATGCCTGTCCAAAGTCAAAAACTCAGATGGACAACAGGAAGTCAAACTGGCGGAGCTGCAGCGAAAAATCACTCTCATTAAGAAATTTGTCCACGCCCGCAAGTAAGGCTATACACAGAACCCTACCATTCAAACAACATAACACACACACACACACACACACACACACACACACACACACACAAAAAGCACATTTCTAATTGACAAACATTTCAACTGTGGTGTATACATTGTTTTTCTTTTTCGTTTCTAATTTTGGCTCTGATCTTCTCCTAGGTTGAAATCCGAAAATGGTGAAGAGGCACTGAGCATTTGTGAAGGCTTATTGGAGGAACCCGAGTTAGACGCCGCTGTCAGGGTTGGCGATGTTTTTGGTTTCCTGATCGACCATCACTGTCAGCACGGCAACTTCAAAACTGTGATTATTATTATTGTTATTATTTTAGTAAACTCTCAAAATGCACTTCAATACAAATTCCCAATTGTTCTAACCTCCACCGTATGTTTTTCCTAGGCCTATAGCAAGCTGGAGAAGCTCCAGAATGTGGTCCCTTCACAAAATATCAGATACTATGTTAAACAGCCCAACTTGGACGCCCTGCACAAACACATGGGTCTCACGATGCATTCCGGGGACCAAAAACATCACGATAAAGAGGAAGATGAAGTGGAGGAGGACTTGAACGTCCCCTAAAATCCCATGAATGACCTCAGATTTTTTTCAAATGAAATATTTTTTTCCCGTTGTGTCACTGGGTGGCGCTGTTGTCTACATATAGAGGCCATGTCAGTTTGTTCATGTCCTCACCCGTGCAATTTAATAAGAGCAAAACATACAATACTTGTCAATTTTTTTATACATCTCATCTATAGCAGTGTGTGCAGATATGGACTTTTATTGTCGTTGTCTAAGCATCATTTTGTGTTCACATTTTACATGAAAAATATACAATCAAGTCCATTGTTCACTGTATGTATGTAAATAAATGTTTTGAATTTTTTCTACAAAGAAAATGGGTCGTTTTGTTGTGAAGTGTTGTGTTGTACTGAGCCATGGCAACATTCCGCTGAGGGACGCAGAGTGAGTATCAAATACTCCACTGCACTTACTGAAGGAATTGTAAATATGGACCCACGGGAGCCTCGCTCACGTTTAAATCAAGCTACGGACCAAATTCGAGAGGAAAATGTGAGTACAGCATTTTACATCTTGATACAATCGCGTCAGCCTAAATTTGATTCTCCCACTGTACTTAATGTTCAGTTCAGTCAGTTCACTGAACAGTGTCAAAAGGCAAACACTGACATTGGTTTCTCTTTGCAGCCTCAAGACATGAATGAGCAACTTTCCATCAAAGTAGACTACTTGGAGAATAAAGTGACTCATCTGTCCACCTCCAACACAGACTTATCCAGCAGACTCGTCCATAGCGAAGAGGAGAAGCTAAAGGTGGAGTATTCATTATTTTGGGCGTAATTTTATTGGATACACTCTATAAGCAGAAATATATGTATACATATATATCTTTATAGATATATATTTTTTTTCACACTCAGATATCAAAGGAGCTTGTGGAGGAGAAGCTTCACATAAACAAGATAAGAGCCCAGTTTGAAGAGGAGACGTTTGAGCTGAAAAATAAGGTCACACTTTGCCTTTTTGAAAAATGCAATTTAATTAATTCAAACATTTATTATGAACAGAAAATCAAAACATTCAGTACGCAGTGAAATGCTAAACACAAATCGAACAATTTACTGGCTTCATCAAGTATTGGCTGCTTGGTATCGGTGATGTTTGGACGTAGTGTATGTGCCTTAGCGCAATAAAGGTTAGAAAAGCTGTCTGATGTCATTCATGTACTTCATCTTCTTTACATCTTCCCCCATCTTTAGATATTGAACCAAAAGGATGAAATAAAACAATTACAGACCGAGCGAGACAATTTACTCTGCAAGCTCCAGTCAGCTGGGACCCACCGCAAAGCGGGCGAGGAAAGCGACCAAGAGTTGTCCTCGCTCAAGCGGAACGACCTGCCTCTAACTGAGGCCCATCATAAAGAACTGGGCCAAAGCAAGGAGCTAAGTGTTGAACTGCTGGCCTTGGCCCAGGCGCAGGTTGCCTTGCGCAGCCAGCTGGCCGAACAGCACCAGAGTGCTCGGGACACCTCGCAGGACCTTCACGGGGAGCTGGACCGAGTGAGGACCCTCGTTGGCCGCTTGTTGCAGACCAGAGTCAAGGTGAGGTGTTGGCCTTTGCTTGTGATGCTTTCAATGAATTCAGGAGATGTGAGGAAGGACTGACCTGGCCATTCTCATTTTAACAGCCGGAAGACCTTGCAGCTTTGAACAAGGGTCAGAAAAGCATGGAAAAAACGGTATGTGTTTCTCAGTCATTCTTCCTCGCAATAATTCATTCTTCCACATTCCTCAACCGAGTCGAACTAATCAAACTTGCATATAATCACAACATTCAGGTTTTATTACTCCCCGCAGCTCCTCGGAAATCAAGAGGAGATGAAAGACATGCTGGGGAACTTGAAGCGCAGCTATGAGGAGCAGCAGAGGAAACTCGAGGAGGAGATGTGAGGAATGTTTTGGATTATCATTCTAAAACCGGAGCGAGTTTGTGAAAGATGGTGGTGTTCATCCCACATGCGCATCTGCTCTTTGATTTGATTTTCATTTGTAGTCTCTTGACTTCCTCTTGTGATGTGGTTTGCGTTTTCTTCTCTCTTGTGGTTGCAACCGATGTTTGGCCGTCAGCGGGGCGATGGGAAAAGAGCACCAAATCCAAAGCAGCCAACGGAAACCATCTGAGGAGACTGTGGTGAGCAAGAACTGTCAAGATCACAGTAAAGTGCAGTCCTTCCAAAATGAACTTCATTTGTATATATCCATGTGCCAAGCTCGTGCCATCATACTCAAGAAGATTTGAGAAAATACAAAAGTTGGGGGGAAAAAAACGTTTACATGTTGTCATTACGCAATGTGTAGTGTCGCATTGGAGTGAAGCTGTAACAAAAAAAAAAAGAAAATTAAAACATGGAAATATTGGCACACTGTTGTGGATGCGCGGTCACAAAATAAAGCCGATGACTACTTCTTGTTTCTGTCGTGTTTTGTTTCATCCAAGACATGTGTGTGCTGTCTGAGTCAACTGAAGGAGGCCAAAGAGGAGATTTCAAGGCTGCAGCTGCAAGTCAAACAGCTCCACGAGCTCTATCGTGGAAGGCTGCTGTGCTATTTAAAGGACATAACTGTGAGTAGCTGCACAAACACACAGAAGGATATCCAAAATATCTTGACACCACCGATGCTTTAATTGCGCCTTTAGGAGTTCGTCGATGGCCTCGGGGGAGCCAAAATGGCATCCGAGGGAAACAAATGGAGTGCCATTGTGGACAACATGCTGAGGGATGTCCGTGCTTCCTATAGGGCCCGCGAAGAGCAGCTCGCCACTGCCACTCAGGCTTACAAAAAGAGACTGCAGAGGACCACCAAGACCCATCACGCCCTAATATGTGCCTATAGGTGCTCTGAGTCTTGTTACATTAAACGTGATTGTCATGAAACATAACTATTCTAGATAATGTTAGTTCACCTGTCGTCTCGACCCACCATGTAGGGCTCAGAGGCAGCAGATTTTGGACAAACTAGACCAAGGTCTGGAGCCAGGACCCCCTGAAAGCCATTTCAGCCTGGAGCCCACTGAGCCAAGAGAAGAATCCGGCAAACGTCAACAGCAACTTGAGCAGCATAAGTCAAAGCGGGGGGGCTCAGCGGCAAGTGGCCCAACACCAGGTCAACTAAATGGGTTGATCTTCTCTTGTTTTGTCTGCGGGAATGATGTTTGCATGGCACACTTTCCTTTGTATTTAAAAACCAAATATTATTTTGAAGCCTTGGAACCTGTTGTAACATTTCTCTTCCAGGTGGCAGTCGTCAAAACGTCGAGCCGTTTGACCAATCAGGAGTGAGTGTTCTTTTTCTGTGTTTGCGTATGTGACCAAAGTCAGCGACTGTGAACGAAAATTGAACCTTACGCAGGATGCCAAAACTGGAGCAGATATTCCAAGAATCCTGGTCGGTCAACGCGGAAACAGCTGAAGGAGATAACGGACCCCGCGCTGGTACGTGAAACTTTAGCTGCGCTGCGAATCCTCCATGCTCAAACGTTTTAGCACTTTGGCTGCGATAGACGCACAATCTTGCATCTAATGTGGACTTCTTTTTTTCAGTTGGTACAGGGAATCGATGAGGAGGAGCACAAGTTTCTCACCGCCAGAGCAACAGGTGTCCCAGTTGCAGGACTATATCGAAAAGCATCTTGACAGGTCGGAAGGTCACACGATGATCATTCAGATATTTTCTTTTGAAAGACATTTTAAAGGCATTTTTCACTTTTTTTTTTCCAAGAAAAAGTGTTTTAAAAAAAAAAAGACAGACATATGTCGGGATTGTATGAAAAAAAATCCGCTCTATTTAAAATGCACACTGGACTTCGTACTAACTCACAAGCGCAATGGCATGGGAACAGCATCCCACTCCGCATTCATTCGTGTGATCACTAGGTGGTGTGTTTTCTCCCCCACTGTGCTCGGCAAAAAAACAAGAAGAAATCTGGCCTTGAGAAAAAAATGCCTGGAATGTTTGTAAAGCTTATGTCAATTTCACGAGCTGGGGAGAAGAAAGCGCAGCGACAATGAGGGGTCACCCTGGTGAGAATAATGTCATTACATGTTACCCAGACGGGTACACGCCCGTCCGTGAACACTTTCCCCTTCTATGCTCTGTTGTGAGTGCAGCCATTTTTTTTTTCCTTTCCCTGAATTGAACTTTCATACTGTTGCCTCCCATTTGTTGTGTAAGGCCAAACACTCTCTCAAAATCCCTTTAAGCTTTTAGAGGGCATGCATACTTTTATTCACCTGTAGGATTATTATAGTACAGTTTTTTTTTAAACTCCAGGTGCTCTAGTAGGCTTTCCCGTGTTACTCACATCGCAGATGGAAATACCCCAATTACCCCCTTCTGAGTTTATTGACATAATTTGGAGCTGCCATAACATCTTAAAGGAAAATGTGGCTTCAGTCATACAGATAAATATCTTGAAGTAAATTGAACCAGTCTGTGGAATTATGGGAACATTGTCAGGGAGTCATACAGACATGTCACCCCCAATCCCCTTTTGAGGGGGCACGGCTGCCCCATCAGGGGAGGGGGTGTGAAAAGTTTGAGAGGAATGGGAAGTGGGATTTTGTTGGTAATGTATTACACTCCCAGGACCCTGGGAAAGGGTGTGTGTGGTTGGGCGAGTGGTGTGGGGGTGCAGCTTGGGCCTGTGCCAACATAGTCACTGTGCCAAAGAGCTTGTGGGAAAATCAAAAAAGCAGGTTGCTTCTTTGCTGCTGTGCCAACAAGGACACAGAGTTGTAATCGGTGTGAATGAAACTTCCGTACACGTAATTAAAAAGATAGGAGAAGATGTGGAAACTGCCTTGTAATAATAGTCAGAACTTTATGTACAAGTTTACAAAGTGTTTTGACAGAAACAGAATGCATACATGAAACTGCATACCGTTTGCCCCATGAAATTGTATCCGCACCTTCCCAAGGGTCTGTTTGTCGTGTTTGTCCGAGCCTGCGCTGTTTCATACCGGCCTATTAAATGCTTTATAAGCCAAGCCTCATCAACATTATGCCGCTTTTTAGCATCTCACGCAAACTTTCTAGTTCCTCTTTGCTCTGTTTGGTTGTTGACACTTTGCGCACAGATTTGTTTTGTGGCCAGCACGGTGGGGGAAAAAAGCTTATAATGTGTCCTGCCCAGGATGGGGAGCCATGCAGAGGAAGTACCTCACATGGGCTGTTCGTCAAGAGCCCCTTTGTTTCACGAGGTTAATGCCTAATTGATACGGGCTTAATGAGAACGGGGCTCGCGGGCCCGCAGTGTGTGAGTCCGGGGGCCGGACGGGCAGGCTGTAATTGGAACGGACAAGCCTTGTGTGCCCCAGTGCGCCGGGAAGAGATTTATTGGAACACAAGGAACGGCCGGGGAGAGTGGGAATGGGCAAGGAAAAGTGACAATAACGAGGAAGAATATGGAGCCGGTGGGAATTTGGGAGGTTGGGATTGGGAATATCATGAGAACCAAGTCGGTAACAATGGCAAGTGAACAGCAAGTAGTGTAAAAGCATGTGGAATGAATTCATGTTTGATTCTTGGATAGCTACATTATGTGATACTCTCGATGGCTAGCTTGCCAACTTGCTTATTAGCTTGATAAATAGATATAGTTATACAGTCTAATTAAACAACAAAATGCTCTTCCAAAGCATATAATTTCTTCTATTGAAATTCCAGTAATTTAAGGCTAACATAATGCAAAATGCCATAAACGGGCTAATGGAAATGAGCATAAATGTTGGAGTAGTTTTAAACCTTCAAACAACTTCTCCTTTAACACTTGATGGGTTATTTAAAAAATATGAAACATTATATTTCATTCGGATAGGGAAGATAGATTTGGGAAAAAAACCTGAGGTATAATCGTGGTCACAAGATGAATTGAACTCAAGGTCAAGTTACCGCCGTACCAACTTGATGCAAAATTCCTCCATGTTAACCCTCAACTGCAATTTTAGCCGACACCTGTCTCTTCTTTTCGGACAAGTTGTCTTTTTGGCCCCCCCACTTTTGCATCAGACTATTCATGCAGAGTCCCGAGCTCCTCTCCAGACAAGCTTTCAGCACCCGGACTGGAGAGGCACTAAAAGGGAGGCGGGGGTTGGAGGGCTGTTTGAAGCGGGTCGCATGCTCTTCAGCAAACCTTGAAGAATTGGGAGTGAAAGCTATAGAGATTCTGGGTGGCTGTGTGAAGAAAGAAAGAAAAAAGAAATAATGACAAGTAAAATAAAAAAAAGAGGGGATGAGAGGGAAGGTTTGGAAGGAAAACGAATGCTTGACTCACATGAAAAGTTGTTGGGGGTAAAAAAAAAAAGGAGAATTGAGGGTGAGAAAAGTAAGGCCGAGAGGTACAGTAAGGGTGAGAAAGACAGACAGGGGAGGGACGACCGGAGCGAGTGAGAATGAGGCTGAGGGAAGGAAGGAGGAGAGAGACCCCTTCTGCTTTCCCACACTCACGCCTGTTCCCACACTGGACCTGGCTAATCCCTGTCTTAATTGGGGGAGAATTCCAGCGCACATGTTCGCCTGGGCTGAGCGAAGGGAATGGCTGGAAGATTGGCTGGATGGTTTGGGACACATCATCTGTGCATGTTTGAGCAAATGGATTCCAATTATCAATTAAAAAAAAAAATACAAGTGGAGACCGTGTATTCACAGCCTTCACAACATATTGTGCGGTGGTGCCTTGAGATACAAGTTCAAATTGTCCAGTGACAATGCTCGAAACTCAAAACATTGACATCATCTTTCCCTATTAAAATGAATGGAAATGCGATTCGCTGAGAAATTTAAAAAAAAATGCTCTTCAAGAAATACAAAAAAATATTTTTTAAACATTTTTAAAAATATTGAAAATAAAATCTGATCATTTTTATTAGCTTTGGTCCGATCTCACGCACTCTTATGACACCGTGCCAGTCAGTATCAGTTGATACATTTTGCCTGGAAGCTGCAGAACACAAGAGGGGGTGGGGGGGCGTCTTGCAAGGAGATACTAGTAACATAACAAAACGAGCGTGAGTGGCAGTTTCGTTCCTCCCTACCTCTTTACTCACCGACAGCTCGAACAATAGGTGCGTTCCTGAAGAGGTAACTTAAGTCTCGAGGGGACAAACGCTGCAAAGCCGTGGAAAGGAAACTCAAGTGATCTGTCCAGGAAATTTCTCCGATTTGAAGCCAAACTCTTGCGGTTAATTGGTCAGGGAACAGTGAATGGAAACAGGTGCAGTGGACTGTATGCTCCTTTTATTATCTTACTTGAACACCAATGACGTAAGAAAACAAGTTGGCCCATTTGAGGACAACAAAAAAACCACACACGTTAATGATGTTTTGTTTTGTATTTATTGTGGAAACTAAAACCGTCAATTTCCATTGCTGCTATTTCAAACTGTTCATAATTCCTTTCAGAAGCTCTCTGCTCTCAGATTACAAAAATGTAGGGGGGGGGGCTCCTAGAACAGCTGAACTTTATTTGGGGTGAATCAGAGGTAATTTAAATAGACGCAGCCACATCTCTGGTTATAAGGGGGTGTTTATTTTTACTTCTCTTTTTAAAAGTTTTTTTTTTTTTTTTTTTTTTTTGCAGTTTAGAAAACTAAATGATTGTTGGGCCATCGGGAGATAGACGCAGCCACATCTCTGGTTATAAGGGGGTGTTTATTTTTACTTCTCTTTTTAAAAGTTTTTTCTTTTCCAGTTTAGAAAACTAAATGATCGTTGGGCCATCCGGAGATCAATTCTGGCTCATTTACCACAATACCGAAACACAGCAAATCTCCAAGTGGCTTTATTAGTGCACAGTTAGTGTTTTGTTTTTGTTTTTTAAAATAGTACCCTTACCCCCAACCCCAACCCTGCGGTCTCACGTCAAGCCCAGGGACACAGTGAGGACGTGGCAGCTGTGTGGAGTTTGCCCCTTCATCATTCAACTCCCTTTTCCTTTCATCGACTATTTTGGCGGGAAAATTCCCCAGGACGCTTGTTTGAACCTCCCTGGTAAAAGGGGGTGGCCCACCTCCACGCTCCTGCGCACCATTTCCACTCTTTCTTGCCTTGATGGATTTTCAGTGCACATTTTGGAAAGGATTACAGCCATCTGCAGGCTCTTGAGGAACAAAAGGGGCCTCCTCGCTCTTCTCCCTTCACTACTTCACAGGGATAACACGGCCACGCAAACATGCTCGCACTTGTTTTCCGTTCTGGCCTCACCTCTCAACCCACCCGACTGCCTACTCTGCTCCTCAGATGACCACATCCAACTCGACCACTTTTCATAAGTGCCTCGCTTAATGCATAGGAGTCAATAGCAGTCCACCCGCATAAGAAATGTGGCATTGTAGGTACTTAAGTCCACACATCATTCTATTACATGTTATTCTGCAACCCAGGCCCACCTTTTTTTTGTCATTGATTTCATAACGTCACATTTTTACATGATGCAGCAAAGGTCAGGAAATGGCTCGACCACTTTTCATAAGTGCCTCGCTTAATGCATCGGAGTCAATAGCAATCCACCCGCATAAGAATTGTGGCATTGTAGGTACTTTAAGTCCACTCTCCATTCTATTACATGTTATTCTGCAACCCACTCCCACCTTTTTTTTTTGTCATTGATTTCATAAGGTCACATTTTTACATAATGCAGCAAAGGTCAGGAAATGACTCCCCGTAATAAATGACGGTTGACGCTGCAACGTTAATCCTCCATTCGGATCGACACAGTCAGTTTAACAATATTGTTGTGGGTGAATTTGACAGTGTCATAGGCGGCAGATTAGATGGATGAAACGCGTCATCCATCACAGTCAGGTTTCCCGTCGCTTGATGGATGTAAATGATTGCGTGGCGGCGTCACCGAAATCCCAACCCGCAGTTCCAGCTGTCCGAAGGGTGTAATGGGAATCCGGGATGCCAGTGTGGTCGTGGAAATGCTCGCGCTCAGCTGGCGGCTGCTGATCTGAGGCGGACACGCCAGACTTGTTCTGTTTGGTTGCCAGGGATACAGCTGTTTCTTCGTCACTATTAATCAACCGTATGCTGAAATGGGACACAAGCCATTAAATGCCTTCCTTCTGTTCTGGAGAAGACGAATTATCACATAATAGTTTAAAGATTCTGTGGCATTTTAATGTGTGTAGGGGGGAATAGGTTGGATCAGGACGGAGCCTTGCCGCGAGCATCGAAAAAAGTGAATGATTGATGGGCCCCTCCAGAATGTTTGGAAAGCAATGCACTTTTTCCTATTAGACAAGGCTATGGCCTGCTAAATAACTTCAAGCAAGAAAGAAAGGATAGAAGTTGTCAGACCTCTTTCTTCACAGTTGAATCTTAACTAGATGTCATGAAGCTTTTTTTCACCACTAACGCAACAGTGCCTGATTTGTAATCCCAAAGTGTCTTTTTGCCAATGCAATTGCACCGCGCTGACGTGTCAGCCACACTTTCCAAATCGGCAGCCGACACACCCCCACAGCTGTGGGGAATGTTATGGGAAAGACCAAATCTAACATTTGAGGAGGATGTGATGGTGAAATAGTTCCAATGAGTCAAACAGGGTCGACGAGTTTGATACCATCCTTGTTTCCTCCCTTCTCACCCTCCTTTCTTGCGTGACTTCAGATGGTTGAGTTCATTTCAGTATGATGTGAAAAAGTATTTCAGCAGTGTGTGTGCCGGAGGTAATGCTAAATTATATTTCTGGTGCCTCCCGTCCGCCCATTACTGTTTCATCTGGCACTTAAAACACACAGACACACACTCACACACACATTTGCTCACACACACATACGGTCAGGATGGAGCGAGCGACTGTGTGGCACCTCAGCTCAGACGTGCCTGCCACGGTGCTCGCTTGATGGCAATTTATTGCTTCCTGGCTCCTGAAAATGGCAGAGCGAGGACAACGGAATTCCAACCTCTGCACACACACACACACACACACACACACACACACACACACACGCTAAATCTTGTTGGCCTTCTATTTGTAAGCCTTTCACAAGTGACTTATGCGTGAGAAAGGTTTAGCCTTGAGCTCAAACCGAACCTTTTCAAACGGGCTTTTTCCATCATTCAAATCACATTTTGTAATTGCAATAAAACAAGCACGCATCTCTTGAGTGGTTTTTTTTTCAGTATATTTGAATGACACAGAACATAAAAAACTCATAACAATATTGACATACTTCTTTAGAATTTCTTATGCACATATTTACATTTTTTGTTCTCGTATTCACATATACACAGCAAATGGCAGTACTTAAGACTTCGGCACTTAAAAGTCATTTGGTACGATCTCGTCATTGATGTAGTGCAAGAAAACGGCATTTTGTACATTGTACGATTTTTTTTTTCCCTCCGTTCTTGCTTGCGTTCTCGATTTGAAAACATGTTGTCGCCAGTTGCATTCGACAGACTTCTTTTGCATGTGATTGACACAAACTGTCAGAATAAGGGCAAGCCATGTGACTGCCTTATTATTACTGTACATGCTCACAATATCTGTATGCGCATATATTAAATTCTGAAATGCACCGCCGTGCTACATATACTTTGCTTTTTTATTATTTTTGGTTTTTTAATGTTTTTTTTTTTTGTGTGTTTGCAGCATTGCGATTCATTCACTCAGTGCATTTTCATCTGATTTATAATCTCCATCGCCCACTCACGTCACCAACTAAAACTCGTTGGTTCTGCTGGGAAGTATTTTGTGTCCCTGCTGAGTTCATTTCTGTACATTCCCTGAGTTTCAGTGACTCCCATGAGGAGCCTACGTTTTCCTATTTGTATTTATTTTTTAACTATGCTTTTCATTTGGTGGCTTTTCGCTCACGGATGTTTGATTTTCTTTTTTTTTTTTTTTTTTTTTTTTTGGTCCAATCAAATTTCCCCCCTGTGTGTTGCCATGTCAATCTAAATGCTTCTATTCTGGCAGCCGAAAAGCTGCCGTCACAGCCCGGTAAGCTGTTATTGCACTGAAAAGGCATTTGGGGAAAAGTCCCATTTTTCACGGACCCTTAAGTAGCTCGCAATGGTTTCCCCACGACTCGAAGCGACATTCCCCTCCGCCTCGGTTCCGTAGACAAGCAGCGACAAAAGTTTCGAGCTCAGTCCACGGGAAGTTCACATGGGATCTGCTGGGCCGCTTTGGCCGCCATGTAAGCCTGCAGGAAGTCCTTATAGCGAGGGGCGCAGCCCAGCCAGGCCTCGCCGAAGTGGACCCGACCGGTGAAGAGGAAGCTGCCGGGCCCTGGTTTGACGCCGCACTGCAGAAGGGTGCGGATGTCCCCCCGAGCGGCCATGCGGCCGTTGCCGGTGAAGAGGGTGTACTTTTGGCGGAAGACCCGCGTGGCGCTGACCTTGATGACCGCGGCGCGGAGATTCTCGTCCTCCTCCACGGACCGGATGTTGCCTCGCACCACTGTGGAGAAGACAGGACGAAAGTTGTCACCGTGAGACCAACTGAACCCAGGTTTGTAGTTTATGTTTCTACATATGCATAAAGTGTCATTAAGTTCTCCAATGCCGTTTTCTTTTGTCTGCTCAGCCGTCCAGGTTGTGATGACACGCAAAAGTTGAATGGAGACGTCTGGACTCTTTTTGTGAAAGTTCCGGATGTGGATTCATCTTTGTGGAAACCTTAAAAGTAGCGGTGAGACCCATTCCTTCCATAATTCCTGGAGTCCACGTTTCCTCACCTCCTTCCGTATTTCTGTCCTCCCTCCCATTCTTTTTTTCTCCTTCTTTTCAAACATCCTTGTAGCCATCCTTCATTGCTTCCGCTTTGTCTTTATTTCCGTCCTTCCTGCTGCCTTCCCTCCTTTCTTCCTCCCTCGCTTCCTTCCATCCCATCCAAGTAAAAGTTAATTGTACCTTCTGCCATATAGTGGAAGAGTATTTTTTTTCCTGCCTGTCACTGTACTACATCACTGGCATGGATAAAAGAACAAAGATGCATGATTTGTTGTAAATAAATGATAGCTTTCAGGTCAGAAAGTGGATTAGTGTCAGGTCCCAAAGTCCGACGACTTCTCTTCCAAAGATTGTCCCACTCACATTGCAAAAGTAGACACTAAGTTTTTGCAACCTGGCAGGTGAACTCCATTGGGCGACTCCACACCTAAAATTGTTGCTAGCTTTTATTTTTCTGCTTTGCGAGATCTTTTAACGTTCTGGGCCAAAATTCTCCTCACGTGAGGATGCGCAACTTACCAAAGTCACTGGTACACACGGCCATTAGGAGCTCTGTGTCGTTGCAGGGTCTGCACGCTTCTGAGAAGGAAACAGAGGGAGAATCAGTTAGCGAGCTTACGTCAATCTTCCGGGAAGAAAAAAAAAACACATACAGTGCATGCTCATAAGAAATCAAGAAGAAAAGCTCACATGCTCAGGAATGTGCACCACAAAGGGCTGAAGGACCAACCACTAACAGACAGCTGCTACTTTTACAGTTGAGGCTTTCAAGGTGCACGGTTCTCTTGGCTGCACACCATTTACAGGCTAAAATCTCCCCCTCCCCGTCTCCCCGCCCTAAAACCTTCCTGGGTGTCTGCAGTCACACCTCCACAAAGCCTCCGGGGTCCACAATAAGAGAGGGAGCGGAGCGAGACTTCAAAGATATGTTTGAGTACCGCAATGATGGTCATTTAAAAAAAAAAAGAAAACATAAACCTGACCGCTTCTACTTTAAATAGGGGCAGAAAAGACTCCCAATTTTAATTCATGTAAATTGGGAGTACCACACAAAACGATCTTACATTAGGCCTTAATGACTTTTAAAAGTTCATCTGACTTAATTTACAAGACCAAAAAAATTCAAAGGCAAGCACCTCAAAATGTCAAAGTTCCAAAACATACATTCTCATTTATCTCCAGGGAACCAGGGAATTGAACTGTTTTTGGAGGGGGAGGCGGGGTTACACATTTTAATAGTTGCTTGAGGTTGACTGGAGGCCCCTATCCCGCCCTGCACATTCTCCACAGTGAAACCCCTCTTGATAAATGAGATTCCTTCCTCTCCAGTCCGAAAGCAAACTTAATGTGAACGACTGAGGGGGGCAGTAGGGGGTGGCTGTCGGTCTCTGGCTACAGACAAGTCTACCCACAGCGAGGCAGCTCAACAAAAGAGTGGAGCATCTCAGCTGGGGAGAGGCCTCTGTTGCCTAGGAGACGGCAGTAATCCCAGAATGTTTCAGCGGCACGCATTCAAAGAGCCGTGGACTCTGGAGAAAGACCCACATAGTGAGCTTTTGTAGCCCCCCCACCCCCTCCCAAACCCTACGTCCCATTTCCCCTCCTCACTGCCTACTCCCCACTTCTCCTACTCCAAACCAACATGCCTCTACTCTTGGGAAAGTTTTGCCACTTCCTCATGAAAAATCCAATCAGCCCACTTAGGCCTCCTCTATCAGGGCCTATATGAGGGTTTGGGGATATATTTTATCATCACTGTGGAATTGGACTCATGCATTTCCCAATCAGAATGCAGGAATTTGAGCTAAAGCAGTGACACATGGGGTGCAACAATGCACACCCTTGTATCGCAAATCATCCCTTGCCATTGGAATGAATGGAAATGCCATTAATCCGTTTCAAAATTGTTGCAATTTGCTCTCCGCACAAGGAACAACAACTTTCCGAAAAAGAGATCAGTGCCTTATATAAGACTAATTTAAGTGAAATGTTCTCCCTTTTTTGTGCACTTAGATTTAGGAGAAGAGAATGCGTGAATGATTCCAAAGGCAGCTTTGGCCTCCACTTGAACAACTCACCAACAGTACTGATCTGGTTGGAGTCAAGTGACAGACGCGCAGTCCAGTCCCCCCTCAGCTCATATCGGAAGGACGCAATGCGCCGGCTGATGTCTTGGTGAGGTGTGGCCTGCATGAAGAGAGCC